GCGCTCTTCACACCATCTCACTCGCCCTAACCCGGATCGAGCTTAGAGAAGTATCAGCACTAAACCCCGTGTAACATCTGCATTGAGATCCAAGATTTTGTGCACAATGCACTTTACCAGCATTTTGAGCAACTAAGACAAGTAGATGCTGTCAGAGTAGTAATCCTTGGGTCGGGACTGGCCGGAAACTCAAGTTGTCAACATGAGTTAGACTTTTTAGATTACGAATCCAGTAAGTCCCCGTGGATAGCTGTCAAATAGCAATCAAATGGCGCCACTATGTAGTATGCTATGTATATCTGGGTTGATTTGATTGTCCGCTCATAGCAGAAACTATCTATATTGATATGGACTCACCAAAGACATTAAACGATATAAGCATACCAATGACAAATTAGCGTGGTCTACGCGTGCAGGTGTTGAACACTATGATATCACAATGAGTAAGACGTCAACCAGTTATCGATCAGTCCCGTTCCTGGAACGTTACATACATCATGAGGCAGCAGTAAATTCGCATGGGATTTTTGAGATTCGACCACACAAAAGAACCGGGAAAATGTCATGTGAAGCGTTTAAAGAATTCCCGGACGAAACATATCTCTAGTGGGACGTTCAGATATAGAGCTCACTCTGTGGAAGAGAAACAATAATGGAAAGTACAGAACAGGGACCGAAAATGGCCTTGGACAGTGCTTTCCAATACTGCACATCCAAAGATTCTGATGGAACCACAACACACTATACTTCTGCACCAAAATCTATGATCGAGCGATTGTAGTAAGGCTTCGATAGTCAAGCACACGTTCCCTAGCGGGTTTCAACCAAAAGGTCTACTGTGACTGCAGTCAGGGGCAACCCAGCCTATCAGGCGCCACAACGATGCGAAACAATCGTGCATCATCATGTACATACATAAATAGCTTAGCCTGATGACATGCATTCTTCCACATCACCCGTGCCTACCCAGGCACTTTTTTGGAAGGCAACCTTAAGGCTGACATCTGAAACCCTAGCACATCGCAACCCAGTCCATCACGTGATGATCTTTGCCCTGCGTTAGCACGAGCAAGTACACGAAACGAAACGTCTAGACCACGTTTCCCAGGATGAAACTTGGCGGCCCGCGATTTAGGGCGACAAGATGTCGGATTCATCGATGCGTCTAGTCGTCATACCCGCATGCCTGGCTTCGGCCTACTTTCCCCAATAGGTTCAACAAGGCTGATACCGTAATTGGTGGCGTGTTTGTCCCGGTCTGTAATTATCTTGCCGCTGTGTTCCCGCGGTATGTAGGTAGAGTTCATCTTGTGATCGAGGCTCCAGCGCCAAATCTGAGAATGCTGACTGCCAATCTGCTTTTTGCAGCCGGTATAATAATAACTGCAACTTCGATTTACGACTTAAATTGGAGTGTCTGCTTGGCATAAAGTTTATTACATTGTTTTTCTCATAAAGGACTGGCAGGCCACACCCCAACCTGCCGAAATCGGGTGTAAAAAAAGACTTCGCAGTCAGGATAATGGCTCTGATGAAATGCCTGTATTACTAACAGTCTCGATTTACAACACAAGCATCGCGGCAACAACTTGATTTATGAAGGTAGTAACCAGATGAGTGAATGTTCGCGGGCCTGATACCTATTTCTTTATCAACTGACTACAGGGACATGGCAATGTGGATATGTTGATTACACCGAAGAAAAATCATATCGACATTGCCTTCCCTACCTTCTCCCATCCCTGAAATTTCTCCCCTAAACCTTACTACAGCCCTGTTTCCGAGCGGTCATCACAATGCTGCGGTCCAAGCGAATGGCTTATGGGTGTCTGAGAGATGAAGGAGGAGGGGAAGTTTGGTGTGTGGTTTAGAATTGCGAGGGTGAAGAATGGGGGGAGGGTTGAGAAGGAGAAGAGGGGACACTTGTTGGCTTAGAGAAAGAAAGGGAAAGATGAGGTTGGGATTCGATGTGCATTAATTTTGGACTAGTGTGATGATGTGTTGGCTACTGTCTGACTTCCAAGAATCGGTATCGGTGAGTCTGACCCAATTCTTCTTGGTATGTATATCTCAGGTCTATCACCTGCTGTGCGACAACTATGTTGTCTGGATCACATGCTCCCTGACAATGTGTTTACCATCCCTGCTACTACCCAAAATCTTTGCCTCTTCCATATTAATTGGCTCTTCATTCTGCAATTCTTCAGTGTATTCACCAACACTCTTCGCATGTAAGGGCCGTGTTGCAGATAGCTGTGGCGGTGGTGGTGGTGGAGGTGGCGCCCAATCAACCTTGAAAAGCAAGTTGGGCCACCCTGTGGGATCATCTTCCATGAAGACAATGATTTGACTAACGTACTTGTTGCCTCCCATCTCCCTCTTGTGCTGGGCGAGTAAATAGCCTACAGCTATGCCATTTGGTGATCCTGAGACACATGTCAGTCAAGATAACAATGTTGTAATATATTAGCTTTGAAGTTGGAAAACAAGAAGATGATAAGACAATATGGCGACTTACCCAGAAGAGCCCTATACTCTTCAGTTCCCGAATTGAATCGAACTCCTGGCCAGGGCGGCACTTCGTCGTGATCATTTTTCTCCATAGCCATTTCAATAAGGCGCCCAGTTTCTTCGTTAACGACCTCGAAAGAAAGAAAAGCGTTGATGCCTCCTAGATTATGGCCGCTAACCCTATTCCACATACCCCAGGCAATGTCGGAGCTGGATCTCAACGCAGGCATTTCATCGCGCGGGATTGGAATGTGCTGGGGGATATTCCACAAAAGGCGGGCTTGGGTCTCGGGAGACGATCGATCGACAAGGAAGATGTACCCGTCTTTACTGTTCACGCCGATGATGAAGTGTGCACCCGTTATCTGTAGAGAATGAGATGTGTTAGAAGATCAAGTGGTCGAATTAAGGGAATGACTGGTTAGCTTACCCTATATCTTCGTCCGTTGACAGTGTAATGTTGGTCCGCTCTTCGTGGGAAAGATCCATCAGGATTTTTCTCAACGGCAGGGCCTTCGTAATGAACGATGGTGAAACAGCGGTTAGGTCCACCATCTGTATAGTCTTGCATACTGATACCCAGTGCACTGAAAGCTCGTGTCAAGCCACCGAATTTTGTTTCAAAGTCACAAGCTCCTTTCCTATCCTCGTCATCGCTGATGTCTTTGTAACCCCACGTAGTCAGTTCATTTACCAGAGTACCATGCCACGGGGTGGTTAGTGGTCTGCAGTGTAGGGCGGCTTGGTCAGGGTTGAGTGTAGTGCCAAAGAATAGTTTAGTTCCTTTGCAAGTTGCCTGGTCCCATAAAGCATCATTTGTAGCCGCGACATGGACAGTTTCCGTATCGGAACCGATTGCTGGATTAGAGTATTTTGTGCGAGATTTATCAGTGAGCCCCGACTGAGTGATCTCGCCTGAAACCAGACAAACTAAATGTACGAAGACGACAAAGGTTAGGGATATGAGCTCCATCTCGAAAGTTGATATGTGATGTACAAGAGAGGGTGTGGTCTAGGTAGAAGCTTCAAGAGCAAAACGAAGTTGGACTCAGATTTGTACCTGGAGGGTGAGGGGGAATGTGCCAAAACAAGGCGTACAGGCGAGGTGAATTGAATTGTCTAAATTTGGCACAGCTGTCGAAACGAGAGTGAATGAATGAGTGAACAAGTGCGTGTGAGCGGTAAGCATTTGTGAACGAGAGTGGAAACGGGTCCCGGTGTATGAGAGAAAAAGGGTGCTATAGCACAGCCATCTTTCTCCCGCAGTGACAAGTGCGCACGAATCTCCCATTACGACGTAAGCACAAAGGGTATTAGAATATTACCAAGACAGTATCACATCTGGATACAAACGATAACTCTCTTAGGGGTGAATGGTACACATCGTGCATGTGCGGCAAATCCTGAATGGCCAGTGAATCTTTACAATGCTGCTCTTGTTGAACGAGCATGTTGACAACAATGTGAGATCGAACTTATGCAGAATTTTCCAAGACGATGTATTTTAGAGAGTACTAGATGGCTGAATGAGGTTAGTGTTAGACTAAGAACTTGCGGTAAAAGGGTTTCATCTATATGGTAGGTGTAAAAAGAATGCATGTCATTTTTCTCGTTAAGTATCTTTCGGGATATCTCTTAAGAGCGTTTAAAATATCAAAAAGGACGGGTGGCCGTTTGGACATGATAGAGTGAATATGTTTGTTTTATTGGTAACTTGTACTGATTACATCAAGACATTATCGAGTAGAAAGTAGACGTGATGACATTCACGGAGCAAGCATGGCGCACAGATATCCAGGGTGACCCACCTGTCTACTGAATCGAAGAGAAAGCGAGCTTGAACATTGGGTATACGGTGTGGCCAGTCAACCAATCACCCAAGCTACTGGCTGCCCTAATCGGGTCAGTGGAGGCATGGTAAAATGCCCACTATGGGAACCCAATTGCATTTCTGCGATGGCGCTGAGGTTAGGAGCTGCAGGGGTAATCCCGCATTCCGGATTGGTCAGAATATGGCTTCTTTCGCTGTCATGTTGGAGTGCGAATCTGGTAGTGATGACTGTCCTCCATCCTGACGGCGTTTCAGCTGTTCTATACCTGCTCGACTTGATAGCAATTCTCTTGCATGTCTGAGGCTCGGAACAGGGTTGGTATGGGTGCAGAGCTGTATTGGCATCATCGTGGCGCTAGATTCATTTCAGTCACTATCACTGTCATAGCCGGGGACAAGCATGGTAGACAGCTTTGATGGTGGCGGGGCTGATTTGACTTGAGGTTGGGGGGCCGGGGTAGGAGCTGGTGCCTGGGTCTTTTTCTTGATGCCAAGCGCGGCGCTGAAGTCCTTCTTTTCTTTTGGCTTTTTGCTGAAGGATGCGACAACAGGCACATCTATTGGGACATCCATCATATCCTCGTCGATAGCTTCCTCACCGATATCTGGCATACTCCGACTAGCAAAAGCCTGTCGTGCTGCCTCGGCGTCCTCTTCGTCTTGTTTCTTCCTGCGTTCGTCGGCAGCATCAGGCTGGACGTCTGGTCGAGTACCCAGGCTCTCTGCTTTCTCGAGACGCGCGTTCCTCGAGCGAATCTCATCAAGAGCATCGGCAATGGCCATTTCGGTCTTGGCGTCGACTACTTTTGTCTCGAGCTCCTTCATGGCGTCGCGCTCCGCCTCCTCTTTCTCAAGGCGATCCAAGCGCTCCTCTTCGGTCTCCTCGTTGAGCTTGGCTTCTCTCCAGGGTTCAAAGTTGCGCTTTGCGCCACGTTCGCATTCGTAGTCCATGTTCTTGGGGTCGGTTTTGAAGGTGATTTCGCCAGAGCAGCGGGTGCAGCGAATATAGAAGCGGAAGATGGCAATGTTGTAGTACTTTTGGTCGGTAGTTTCCTTGCGAGCGTTGAACTTGCGGCCTTTGTAGATGAACTCGCCGCAGTGCGTACATTTCATGGAGAAGGGCGCCATAAGGCGGACGGTCATGAGCTTGGGTCCTGCATTCTTAGGACCGCGCTGACGGGTGATTTTGGAAGGGTCGAAGTCGGGGGGGTAGTATTTGGTGAGGACTTTTCGTTCGGACATGGTGGGCGGTCGATGGCTTGAGCGAGTTCTTTGTAAAGTGTTGTGTGGTGTTTTGTGGTGTTGTACGAGGTTGAGAGGGAGCGGCAACCTATTATTCTCAGTGAAGCCAATTTTGCTGACTAACACAACTGACCAATCATCAAGTCCGCGGCAACCCCGCAAACATGTGCTTTCGTGTCATGCTGGCGCCCGCGCGTCGCCTTTTGTGTGCATGGACTTGCACATGTAATATACACAATCACCCATTTGTCTTAATCCGCCAAAAGACCCACCCTCCCACGCGTCGATTACTCCCCCAGCACATGGCCACAGCAGTTCGGCACCATGGAAAATTATCTTCGCGAATGGCGCCAGGAAGCCCTCAACCGCTGCCAGTACGACACAGCCATCTTTGTTGCCGACAAGCTGCTGGCCCTCACTGGTATGCCACCCTACCCTCGCCCACCACTACTACCCTGGCCGCTCACGACACCCCACAGACGATGACCAAGATGCCTTTTGGCTAGCTCAGGTCCACTTCACCACTGGCAATTACAACCGTACCCAGGCCCTGCTTGCGCGCGGCAATCTGATTGACCGCACTCCCCAATGCCGCTACCTCGCTGCCCACTGCGCCATCAAGCTGGGCAAGACGGATGATGCTCTGCATATCCTCGGCGACAAGAACCCCACCCATCTCATTGCTGCCCCAGACAGCGCCCGTACCAAGTTGCGCCATGTCCATGTAAATACACGCCACGGCCCCCGCCATCATCGCTCTGGTTCGCGCAACGAGCGCCTGCCCACGAGCGAGGAGCGCGACCGCGAGAATGCCGACAACATCAAGTCCGAGGCCGCCATGTGTTATCTCCGCGGCGTTTGCTTCGCCAAGCTGAACTCGTTCGACCGTGCAAAAGAGTGCTACAAGACGGCCGTCCAGATCGACGTCCAGTGTTTCGAGGCCTTCGACGCCCTCATGTCCAACTCGCTCATGGCTCCGGACGAGGAGTGGAAGTTTCTCGAGTCGCTCAACTTCGACACCATCAACGTCTCCAGCAATCCCTCGCTGTCGCAAGAAGCCGCCTCTTTCACAAAGACACTCTATACTACCCGTCTGTCCAAGTACACCAGACCCGAGGAGTTTGCGAATGCCACCGAGACCCTTACCACTCACTACAACCTTGGCGAGAATCCGGATATTGTTCTCTCCAAGGCCGACCTCATGTTCACCCTGTGTAGATTCCGCGATACCCTTGCTCTTACCTCGTCCGTTCTTTCCAATGACAAATACAATTTCAACATCATGCCCATACACATAGCATCTTTGCACGAATTGGGCGAGAAAAACACTCTCTTCCTCCTCGCTCATGAGCTTGCGGATACACATCCCTCGGAACCGTGCGTGTGGTTTGCTGTCGGCACATACTATCTCGCAATCGGACGCATAGCCGAAGCGCGCCGATACTTTTCAAAGTCGTCTATGATGGATCCGCACTTTGGGCCCGCATGGATTGGCTTTGCACATACCTTTGCCGCTGAAGGCGAGCACGACCAGGCCATTTCTGCCTACTCGACCGCTGCACGATTGTTCCAAGGCTCTCACCTGCCCCAGATGTTTCTCGGTATGCAGAACCTCCAATTGAACAACCTGACCTTGGCAAAAGAGTATCTCAAGACATCATATGACTTGTGTGAGAACGATCCCTGTCTATTAAACGAAATGGGCGTTGTGTATTTCCATGAGGGGCAATTTGTAGACGCCATACACTTCTTCCGCCGAGCACTTGCCTTCTCAGAGCAAAACGAAGCCGATCCTGATACTTGGATACCCACACAGATAAATCTTGCCCATGCCCTTCGCAAGCACGAGAAATACAGCGAATCACTCGCCACTTTCGACGACGTCCTTCGCCACGGCACAAAGGACCCCAGCGTATTTGCGGCAAAAGCACTAGTACTCCTTAACATGGACCGTAGTTGGGACGCCATTGTCACCCTGCATGAAGCCCTTGCCGTCGCACCCCAAGATCCCATGGCTACTGATCTCCTCAATCGCGCTTTAGAAGTCAACGAATCTGATAGCGGACATGCGCAGTCCGACCCGGCTGCTGCATCAACTTTTGCAGGTGAACCAGAAGAGAATGAAGAGATTGAAGAGCTTGAGCGCCGCATGAGTGGCAAGCTACGGGAAATTGAACAAAACCGCGTCGCGGGCAGACGCAGCCGCAGGAGACGCCATGCACAGGGCGGAGCAGCCGAGGATGTCAGCGCTTTTGGAGAAAGCATGGTAGTTGACTCGGATGAAGGATAAGGCGCTCATCGTTTGCATGTGGGTTGGGTGATATAAAAACCCGTTGGAATTTGGATACGTTTCTCATTGCATAGTGGCGTCAAAACACTGAGGCTTAGGGTGTTGCATTTCGGGACTTGGCATAGCGTATGGAGTGATTGGGGGAATTGTCATGAATTTTTTTTCTTGTTGGCCATAAGAGATACCAAATCACAGGCGTTTGAATACTTCTTTTTCTTGTTCATCATCTTGATATGTCTATTGCCTCTATGGTCTTTGTTTTCCCACCTTCTTTGTGATCCATGACTTATGTCGAGATGTTGCACAAAGCTAGATCCCTTTGTTCCTCTAAACCATCAAATGTTAGTCAGAAAACTTACTTACTGCCCCCGATCTACCATCGGACCCAAACTTTGTTGGAAATATCTATTATATGTAGTTTTTGTTTTGTTCTCGTTTCGACATAAAATCCGAAACCCCACTCGCCGAATGATATCCGTAGTAAAAGGAGGGAGAAATGAAGACGCCATACCCAAACACCCATTTCAAACTTGAGACCATTTAACAAAGTCTCCCATGTAGCCAGTGATGAACGAAAATCAAAATGGAGAAGAAGAAAAAAAAAGAATAAGGCTCAGTGAAGACCTCTAGCCCCCATAGTCCCAGATGCTACTGCCGGTAAGAAAACATAATCCCCCTCCGGCCATGTTCCCCAATATAAAAGTTCGAAAAAAGAAAACCAAAAAAGAAAGCAAAATTTCCACCCCGTCTAGCCAGATATGCTAGATGACCATAAAGAAAGAAAAAGAAACAAGCAAGAGAGAAGTCCCCAGCCAACCCATCTACCCTTCCAAACTACATCCCACCACTCTACCTCGCAGCAAGCATATAAATCTCCCACTCCAACTTGGCCCTCTCCTCAGTCATCCACCTCGGCTCGGGCGCTCGAAGCGCCCCATCCGGATCGACCGTACAAATGCGCTTTAGCAGTTCTTGATTATCCACGTCGGCCAAGTCACCGCCGTTGAGCTCAGAAAAGTGGTTGAAGCCAGTGTATTTTGGGTGTTTGACTGTGGCGAAGATGGAGGGGTCGAAGGGTGGGAGTGCGGAGGCGGTGGGGGTGTTGGTGACGGGGACGTTGGCAGGGGGGTTGCTAGTGGTGGTGGCAGCGTCGAGTTTCGCGAGGCCGTCGTGGTAGGCTTTTTGGCGCGAGGAGACGAAGGATGTCATTGAGTCGTAGACGCGGCGCCCGTTTTCTACGTCCCATTGCGTGACGGTTGTGGGTTGGGTGGGGGCTGGGGTTGGGCTGGGTGCGGGTGCGGGTGCAGTGTTGGGAGCAATGTTGGATTGTTTGGACATTGAGACTTGGTCTGGTTGATTGCTTTGAGGGACTACTGGAGCGAGACTGGTTGAAGTTGCGGTTGGGTTGAGGGACCTGTTTGTTATGTCTTTGCCAGTCACTTTCACTTCGCTAGGTGCTGCTTGCTTGGCGGGTTGCATGACTGACGGTTTCTTAGGCTGCGCTACGCTGGATACTGGCCGGTGGAAAGGTTGCTTTTGGATATTGTTCACTCTCTGCTTGTGTACTGCAGGCTGCGTGAGAGGGCTCCCTGGGACAGAACCTTTTGTTGCCTGACTTGGTGGAACCAGGTTCTTCTTAACCTCTCGACTTTTCTCGACCTTTTCCCACTGCTCTCGTGTCCATGGTCGACCAGACTGATCATTGATTGGAGACTGTTGTAAACTCTTAGTCCCCGGCGGTGGCACGTACTGGCGCTGCTGTTGAGCTCCTGGGTTTACGGGTACTGGAGGGGGTCCCATGTTGCCTTTCTGGCGCTGAAGTAGATCCGAGTGCTCCTGAGGCGCCATTCCATAGTGCATATTATTCGTCTGCAAAGAGGCTTGTGAGTTCATCATCATGGGCGGCGATGTCTGTTGGGCTTGCTGGAACTGTGGTCCTAGTCCAGAACTCATTGCTGCCGATGCTTGTGCCTTCTGTGCTTGTTGGCGCCGAACAAGTTCTTCATACTGTGCTCTGCTCCACTGGCGACCAAACTCGTCGACAAAACCAGGTTGACCTGCATTCGCCACGTGAGAGGATGGCTGCGTAGGTGGATACACCTGCTGCTGTGGTAGTGGCTGCTGCCCCTGGCCTGGCTGTGCCATCCGCGCCTGTTGCTCTACGGATCGTTCGTCCCGTATCCCTTGACTTTGTTGCGACCTAATCGCTTGTCCATCTGTGTACCCACGTGGAGAGTATCCAGCGAGACTTGGTTGCATGGAGGACTGCATGGAGGAATCCATCTGCGACTGCGTCTGTTGTTGGAAGTGCTGTTGTCCTTGCATGGCCTGGAATGGATGGAGTTGAGGCCTCGACCTGGAAAGATGCTCCACTAGTATGTTACCCGTCAAGTCGATCATCTCTTGGTGTGTATATCTCGTAAGAGTGGTCATATCCGTGTAACTGCCGGGTTTAAACAGTCCCTCAGTCTGTCGTATCTTAAACTTCCCATTTTGTGGATCCTGCCTCCAGATGAACCGGAGCATTTGGTCCCTGCTGTAGGTCAGCCCAGTGCGGTTGTCTCTGTACACTGGCTGCTGTGCTGGTGTATCTATCGAAGGTATGGACATTATAGGCAACTGAGCTGGCTGTACGGGGTGTGAGGCTGATGGCGGAACTCGGTAGCTACTACTACCGTTCATGTGACTGTTGCTGAACACTTGACTCGCCTGGAAGGTGTGGCGGTTATCCATAATGAATACAGAAGTAATGTGATAACATATCTGAAGATGGGTGTAGAGAACGCGGTGTTGCCTCGCTAAAAGTGAAGGCACCCAAAGATTACCACAGGGCCAAAGGGTGGAAAGAAGAGGTTCTCTATATGGGTACCGATATGACTATTAAGCAGGTAAATCGGAATGTGGAAGAAGCACTGATCGCCGCGTGCGATAAATGAACCAAAGATGGGTGATGGGGAGAGATGTGAGAGCCGGGTGGAGATAAGCGATTTGGAAGGAGTAAAGGAGCAGAGACAAGGTGAAGTTGACTTGAAAGGTCACACCAACCAGGTAGCAGGACTGCAGGACCAAGCGACAATTTGAATAGCGCAAGTCGACAATGATAGAGAATCTGCTAAGACCTATAAATTCTGTAAGTATTTGGAAGCATGTTTTGTACTAAGTGAAAATAACAAAAGATGACCAAGTCGTCGGGTCGGCCATTCTTGTCCAAGGCAACAATATGGTGAGTGAGGTGAATATACACAGGGCGGTCTATATCACGACGGCGAATATCTAGCGAATTCCCACATATGCAAGGCGCTAAGAGTGAGTATGAAGGATACCGTCATCAGATATCATTGAAAGGCGACAGCACTGTTGTAGCGCGTCAGCAGTATTGCGGAATGTGCGTTCGTGCGGTTCGCTACCGGCCGCTATCAAACCTCTCTACTAACAATGACGAACCTTTCGCCAGTGATACTATTATCATACTACAACATTGTGAACTGACAGCAAACCCGTGAATATCTCAATAGCATTCTTCTCATCCCTAGTTGTTGACCCGATAAACCCTATAGGTACGAGGATATTTGTACACGTGATTCAAGTCCCAGTAGCGCCTTAAAGAGACAGCCCAAAACAAAACACTCACCCTACTCGGCCCCACACACAACAATGCCAAGTGCCCGCGTTTTATGCTTGCAGAGAATCTTTCTTCAACTCTGACCAGAACAATGCAGGAACGCTCATACGTAACCTACCAACAAACGTCAGCCCGCAACAACTTGCATTCCAACCAAACTTGTGCAGATATCATATAATACCTTTCCTAGCACCCTGGAAGAAGAATCGGACAATGAAGACCTGGAGAGCTGCCATGGTCACAATCAGACCCGACTCCATCAGACTGAAGTTGAATATCCTCTTCTCGGTGCTCTTGACGGTGCTAAAGTTGCGGTTCTCGCGCGTGCGGAAGTACTTTTGGTTGCGCGAAATGGTTGAGAGTTGGGCTGAAAGCTTGAGAATAGACTCTTCGATTACGGAGGTCTGCTCAGGAGAGGAGCCCTGCTTGGAAGGAATCTTGGCGCGGGCGGCTTCGTTCTCGACCTGTATGCGCAGAGAGGGTCAGTAAGAGTAGGTCAGGCGAGAGGGCATAAGCCAGGGAAAGACGTACGGCAATCTCAAAATCCACCACCTTTTCCGCAAATGTGCTCATCTCGTTGCTGAAACAGAATTTGTACTCTCCAACATCATTCGCGGTGAAGACAAAGTCACCCTGACGCTCCTTTGTACCATCGATGATGATTTTGTCCCCAGGACCAGTGACTTTGTAGTCGATATCGAACGAACCACCGGATTGTACCTATTCGCCTACTCGTCAGTTTTGCTCTCATAAACTGCTGATGATGCTGTGTATTGTACGATTCCCTAGTATGAACATTGGAGTCCATGGAGAAAGTGCAATTGTAAGTTCAGGACTCGACGTACAGCGAAGTAAAAGGCCAGCTTAGTCCCCTTGTTCACAGTGGTTGCGAAGAAGCAGGCTACTTCGTGCGCATCCATTTTGTAGGTGAGGGCGGTAGCATACACCGCAGTGGTGTAGGTCAGCATAACGCTGAGTAGCGTAAGAAACCCGCGCATCGTGTATGTTGGCGTGAGACGACTGCTGTGGTTCTTGGGTGTTCTGGTGTTGCTAAGTTCCAGCTGTCGACAACGTCGGCACCACATTTTGCCGATGCAGGGATGTGCGACAGGGGAAAGCGCGGGTGCGGGGACTACTACTACTAGCAAGAGTGGCGAATGAGAGAGAAGGAACAGGGCTTCCCGTAGATCATCGAGTAAGTCGTTGTACATATGTATGCACTACATGCATACATGTGTAAAGTATGCCAGCAGACTAACAATCAAGCCATAATCCTACTTCTGCTATCCTGGTCTGCGCGATGCACACGCTACACGTGATCCAAACAACACGCTACAAACATCTCGACGCCTGCGCTCACTTGTTCACGCACGCGACTCCGCATATGCAATGCCTCAAAGCTTCCTGCGCCAATGCTTCTTGAATGCGTGCAATGCACTCTACCCTGCTTAGCAATCCAGACATGTATCTTTTGCTCTTGCTAAAAATGTGATCTCGCCGCAACGTGCAATGGCTCTGGCCGTCTCGTGATATCCTACACTGCTATTTCCAGGCTTCAACGAATGAATATGGAGTCTGTCTTGCCCCAGAGCGTTCGTGTTTTGGCTGGATGGTCAAGTCCTAATGAAATATCGTCGCGCCCTGCTATTACGTCCCATAGTACATCGTCTGCAATTCGTCAGTGTATGCTAACCAAGGAATGCAATGGGACAATGGTCTCACCATCATCTAAAGGCTCCGGCTTCGAGTATTGCGACCTGCTTACAAGAGCAAACTTAATCTTATCTAGTTGCTTGCCCTTGATCTTGGTGAAGTCTGAAAGTCGCTGTTTGGTCTCGCTAAACGGCTCGCCCTATACCATGTCAGCATCGGTCGTGTAGTGGCACATCATATTGGGGGCAAAACTCACCTCCTTAATCGAGAGTTGGAATGGAACTCCATGTGATTTTGAGGGTTCCTTGTCGTAGTGAAAGACTGTAACCTTCTTCGACGATTCGTCATCCGAGTAAGGTGCGACAAAAATTTGAGTGTAATCGTAGAGGCTCATGATGGAGTGATCTGGCGGAAGGACCTTGTGGAACTTGTGCATGTGAGCCTCGTATGCCCGTGTCTTTTGCATTATCTCGTCGCTGATACCGGCCTTTTTTTGCAAAGCCTCAAGGAGATCAGAAACCTGGGCGTTCTTCGGTACCATCAACGTGTGTTCCTCCTGTCTCACGTGAGTATTAAAAGCATAACCAAATACAATGTACATGAGTACTTACCTCTTTACTCAGTCCGTCGGGCAGCCACGTCACCTTGACGGGTTTCCTCTGTTCTAGCTCTTTCAAGCTCATGTCCAGCACTTCGTAAAACAGCGCATCGTTTCGCTGCATAGCACTCGCCGAGTAGTTGTATGGGCCAGGGAAAAGAATGTTGTTTAGTGTTGAAGTGGCGCTGTATTTGATGGCTTGCTTGGGTTTACCAGCAGTGCTGACGGTGGTGAAGCGGAGGTGGCTGGGGTCAGCCTTGAGGTGCTCCGCTACTTTGCTGGCGAACTGATCATACGCCATCTTTTTGCTGAGAGTCAAGGAAAAGGTCGGTAGGTCTGCTTCCGGTACCCTTGGCACGAATTCAATGTTAATCTTGTTAAGCAAATAATCGTAGAATTCCTTGGCGTCGGTGTAGCCTCCTGCCGCGGTGATTTGCGCAGCCTCTTTTTCATTGAGTACGCGTTGGACTGTAATGATGTCGCCATCTTGGATCTCAGAGGCGGCCAAGGTTACCTTGGGCTTCATTGCTTCGATCATGTTTTGCTTGATCTCTTCCGAGAGCTTGATCTGGGTTCCAGCAGGCCATCCCATCATCTTCAGAATGGTAGGTGTCAGGTCAGACACTTTGTCTTGGTATGCGGCATAAAAGGTCCCCATGCCAAATAGGCTTTGCTGATTGGCGTCAAAGTGCTTCAGGAAGATCATCAGGGGGCGGTTGTTAGCCTGACCCTTGAGATCCACCAACCGTTCACCAAATATTGGTGCGCCAGTCTCGTCACGCTCCTCGGCCTTTTCGATCCACAACCTGAACTGCGCCTGCTTTGTGCCATGCTTACTAGCCGCCTCTTCGACCGTCATTTCAGGGAACTCCAGAGCCGTATCAGGGCGAACGGTACCGTTTTGTCTGTTAACCATGGACCACGGACGTAGCATATCGGCCTGCGTCCCCAAGTCCTGGGCAACGGTTGCCGCAAAGTCGGCCATTGTAGTCGCTCGGAGGACTCTGTAGATTTTTGGACTAGCGGGGGTCTCTACATCGTTCTTCCACGGCACTATGTCGAACCCCTGGTAGACGCTGAATTGATCGTTTGATGCGACGGCGACGTCCATGTAGAGATGCGCCTCCTCGCGCTCCTTCTTCCTGCGCTCCAAGGCGGCCCGTTCCTCAGCAAGTCGCTCGGCCAGATGCTTGGGGGGCTCTACAGCTTTACTGTCCATAAGAACCTGATCGAGTCTTGTCTCTCTGATGTAGACCAACATGTAAGCGCTCATGGAGCGCTTTGCAGACCAGGCTCGTGTGTAAGGATTCCGCTGACCGGTGTTTCCGTTGGCCTGCACATAGTCGCCACCAAAGTTTTCCTCGAGGGCCTCTCGGAGCGTAGCACGCGTGACCCGGTCGTCGTCAAACTTGTAATAGTGCCCATCCTTGGTAGGCTTGAGAAAAGCGTAGTAATGGCCAGCATTAAGATCGCCGCTGTGAACCAAAACGCCGTGGAGGTGGTATACCCACGACTCCGATCGATCGGCGCCCTCGGAGAGGTAGGGCGCGGCGTCCCAAACCTCTGGAAATTCGTAACGATCGTTGACCTTCATCATGGCGTCGCGCTGGAAGTCGTACTCGAAACGCTTTAGTTGGAGATGTAGCACGGGCGGAAAGCTCTCGAAAATCACACCCTTTCTGGCGTCCTGTAGTCCAAAGCCCTCTGCAAAATACTTGTTTTCACCGTCCATGGTTTCGACCTGGACGTAGTCTCTGAAGCTGTCGTCGAGGTTCTTGTTGCCGCTCACATTCAATTGAATATCCCAGAATTCCTCAACGCGAGAAGATTCGTAGTCGACGTTAATACATGATATGTAGGTTTTCATCTTGCCAACAAACATTTTTGTCAAGGCGCCCTCAGCCTCTGTGCCTTTCATTCTCTCATCGAGCTTGTCCATGAGCACGCGAGACAGCTCCTGCACATCTTGTTGCTCAAAAATCTGCTTAGAGTCCCAACCGAAAGAGTGGGTCAATTCCGTGGTTCCTACGGCGGTAGTTGATGTTTGGAGGAGGTAGAAAAGCCTCTGCAGGGCGTATGCGCTATTCGAACGGTCGGCCTCTTCCGCAGTGGGGATTTGATACACGGCCTGCCAAGGTCAGCAGAGGTATTGTTGGCTCGGGCGTGGTACCTACTTGGCGAAACGCCGTCGTGAAGAACAGGGACTGAAGAAGCGAATTCAGGTAACATGTTGCGCCCTGGTTCTTGAGACCAACCATGCCGGTTTCCTTTTTCGAGTCGTAGCTAGACAAGTCAGAAGCGAGGCTTTGGACGTCGCAATGCCAAGACTTACTTGATGAAGTTGTGCCATAGCACACCGGTGGGGTCCTTTAGTACTCTTACGTAGGCCGTCACATTGGCGGCATTGTCCTCGACCATTGGCCGGCCACGATCCTCCCATGAGTTGCTAAAGAGCTTTCTCAGCTCGGCGAAGCGTGTGAAGCCCCAATCGCCCTCATCGGCGGTGAAGCGGTGGTGTGCGGTGTGTGTGGTGAAGATGGTGGGGTCGTTTGGGTTCCATAGGACAAGCATAAACTCGACGCAGGCATACCAGTCCTCGGGCATCTGCTTCTCGTCGTAGGCCTGCTCGAGGTAGAAGGAGGCAAAGTCGACATTGTTACCGTAGGGGAAGAAGAGGATACGCCAGGGATGTCCAGCGCACTCGAATATGGGGCCGTGTTCACGCCTAGTGAGTGTCCGCCAGTCTCTGATCTCCCAGGTGTGGTAGGCCTCGGCCTCTGTCTCATACTCGGCAGTCTTGGGCATGTGCCTCTTCATGAAAGCATCGTACTCGTCTGCGCGGGGTTCGCCATCGGCGTCGATGTCGTCCATGGCATCGTCCGTGTCGGGCGTGATGATGGCAACGTCGGCCTTTTCGTCGTACTCGTGGTCGACGAGCATGTCACTCTCAAGCTGCAGGCACAGTGGGGTCAGCATGTTGGGGCATTGTGTCGATGTGCAGCCGAGGGCGCAAGCTCACCTGGTCCATGGTGTCTGCTCGGGCCCGGCAGCAGCGGGAGAGGGTGGTGGTGGTGGTGGTGGTGGCGGCGGGGGGGACAGACGGGGAGCAGCAGCGGCGGCGGCAGGAAGGACGAGGCCGGCAGAGAAGGAGCTTCCGGGGTGGATGGCGGGCGGGAAGGCACGATGGTGTGCGCTCAACGCAGGGTTGGTGGCCAAGGGAAGCTGCGCGCCAGTCGCCTTCTCAGTCTGAAAGGAACGAAGTTGCAGGCGGGCGGAAGCAGATGCGCGCGAGCGACACACGGGCAAGGATGGCTGTCTCGCTAAAGGTGGCGGCGGTGGAGACGTGACGATGGGATTATCGCTCTGCCACGGTCCCGAAAAAAAAAATAAAAAAAATTATGTATGTAGGGGTGCGAGGACGTAGTGTATGCACTTTGGCGGGAGGGCTTGGGAGAGGGCAGTCGGTCTGCGGCACACAAAGACAAGACAGGCCAGGCCGGCTCTCCTGCCTGCAAGTGTGGTGCAGCCTTGGCGCCTGTCGACGGTGGAGAGCACCCAACCCACGACGTCATTCGTCAGTCTGTCGTCCCGTCCGAGGCTGGCAAGACATCATGCCATGCCCCCCGCCCACCATTGACGCCTGCAACACACACAGCTCGCTTTCTGCCGTGGCATTGCGCCCGTCTGCATCGGCCGACGGCGCGTCCGCTGGCGAATGGCTGTACTTTGGCGCAGCCAGAAAATGCC